AAAGTTGAAGAGACTGAAAAGCACGAGGACCAAGACGATGGGGACGGGATAGAACCGACGACGGCGTAGAAATGCCATATCACGCATGGCGGGCAAGCTGGAGGGTTGTGGATGTCTCGTATTTATGTAACAAAAGCAAGGACTAGGTAAGAAGCCCAGGCTGCTAGGGTCATTCGTTCATTCACCGATCTTGTTGGTGTTGGCATGTGCTGTCTTGGCCTTCCGGGTCAGGTTTGTAATTATGTCATGATAACAAGACGCAACAAACGTGAGAATCATAAGATGGAACAACAGCCCAGGAAATAATTAAGTTGGATAGGTCAGAGTGTTCGACGTTGAGAATGTTGATGCCTACCTACGATGTAGGAACGCAGAACCGGGCTGAATAGTAAGTACATAGAGATGCACTTCATCATTTCCTGGTCCAATTTTGTTAGTGCTACTCCCTTAAAGTACGGATCCGTACCCAGGTAAGTAGCCGCCTTATAAGATTGGCTGCTTTCAAGATCCGCTCTTGGAAATGCAATTGGTTGTTGTGTGTGCACCGAGTGGTATGGCAACGACTAAGTATGATATTGAGATCTTTTAGGTATAAGGTATCGTTTAAGTCCTCCGCACAGCACTAACTTAAGCAGACGTAGCATTAGTAGGTACACATGTACACATGTACATATATTCTGGATATCTACATATTGTGACATGCATGTACATACATATGTAGTACTGTAGGCGCGTAGAACGTGCTAACGGGACGGCGCGATACCGTATTGTACCGTATTGTACATAAACCCCTGACGATGCATCGGACCCCTAAAACATAACCTTAACCTTAGCTACCTCTGCTAGTGTCAGCAGTCTCTAAACTGCCAAATACATAAACGATGAACTCGTGTCGCCTGCGTTGCTGATATCTGCACAACAGCTAGGGAGATAGGGAGACGGGCGCCTAGCTAATGTGCAACCATGAACAAGATAGCGTTGCATCCTCTGCTGCGCGGTCTGCGCCGCCGAGGGTTGCACCGCTCCCCCTTCCTCTGGCTCCTCCTCTTCGCCTGTCTCGTCGAGGTCACCTTTCACGTCTCGCGCTACTACGTGCCCGTGCCGACCCGCGAGCTCGACGCACCCTTCTATACCTCGTGCCAGGAGCCTGCCACCGACGCGCCGCGCGAGAATGCCGCCATCGTCATGCTGGCGCGCAACAGCGAGGTCGAGCAAGCCCAGCGGTCCGTACGGAGCATAGAGCAGCGCTTCAACCGCTGGTTCCAGTATCCCATCGTGTTCCTCAATGACGAGCCCTGGAGCGACGAGTTCATCCAGACCCTGAACGCTACCACGAGCGGCCCTACTAGCTTCGAGATCGTGCCCAAGGACGCCTGGACCTTTCCCTCCTGGATGGACCAGGATGCGGCGCGCGCCAGCATTAAGCGCCAGGGCGACGCCGGCATCCTGTACGCGGGGAAAGAGACCTACCATCACATGTGTCGCTTCTTTTCCGGCAATTTCTACACGATCGAGGCGCTCAAGAAATACAAATGGTACTGGCGGCTGGAACCCGACGTCGAGTTCTCCTGTTCGATCACCTACGACCCCTTCGTCGAGATGGCGCGCCACAAGAAGGTGTATGGCTTCACGATATCGCTCTGGGAGGAGAAGAGGACGTGCCCGAGCCTCTTCAGGGAGGTCTCGGACTGGAAGGAGGCGCAGAATATCCCCAGCAGCCCCCTCTGGAAAGCCTCCGTCGACGCGTCGTGGGCGCCTTGGCCATTTCGCACCTTACTTAGCTGGTTCTCGCACCGCGACCGCAACGGCGACGGCTGGAACCTTTGCCATTACTGGAGCAACTTCGAGATCGCGGATCTGGACTTCTTCCGCGGCACCAAGTACCAGGACCTGTACCAGAAGTTGGAGCATTCCGGCGGCTTCTATTTCGAAAGGGTACGTATGCCAAACGGCATTCATTACCGCCTCGCCGTCCACTCCCCGGGTTGTGTCTATGCTAACAAAGTCTCTAGTGGGGTGACGCGGCAGTACACTCGCTCGCCGTCAACATGCTCGCGGAGCCGCACCAGGTGCACCACTTTGCCGATATTGGCTACCGGCACGACTGGTACTATCAATGCCCCGCGAACGCGCAAGGCGGGCAGTTGCCCGAATCACAGACCCTGAATAACGCCCAGGCGTCCTGGGCCCCCGAAATGGCTGGTGGTGTGGGCTGCCGCTGCGAATGTGATGGTCGCACGAATCGAAACCACGCCAGCTACTGTTTGCATAAGATGAAGGCGCCTAACACCGCCCACCGTCCCTGGTCTACCTGGTTACTTAGCTTCATATTCTAACCAGCTCATGCCTTAGCTCAATCAACAATCTCGAAACCAGTGTCAACGGTCGCGATTGGGAGTCTTGCTTTCCCCCAGTTCGCTCCGGTGATAACCTTGCTAGTTGTCGAGAACGAATGGCTGCTACCAGCGGCCAGACTCGGGATGGAAGTTAATGACAGCCACACGCTACATCAAGAAAGCGCCTTAGCTCGACAAAGAGATGTCAAAAGGAGGAAATACCTGCTGCTATGTAAACGCAAGCCGTACATGCATCACAGTCTGCACGGCATTGCCAGAGCCACTCGATCACACACCACTACCGACCACACCAGTATGGGTATGGGACATAGCACAGCAGTATGTATATATCAAAGGAACTCACTAGGTCATATCTAGAAGACATTGTACTCTAGAAGAGGATATACCCGGATATAGTCTTGAATATAACGATCTATCCATCCCCATCTACTTCACCATGGTAGCCTACCAGTGAGATATGTTATTGATACAGTCACGTACTTAATCACTTACCAGAAGCCCAGCCAGAGAACGACGGCATTAGATCAGTTTTCTCATATGCTCTCCATGACTACGTTTCCATGTTAGTCACAATGAGGCTACCAACAGAAGCATCATCACCAAGGCCTTGTTAACGAGACTAACCCTTAAACAGGTTTGGTTCTCCATATGCGCGAGGTAGGCGTGCAAGAATTACCCCGACACCAAATCCTATTAGGCGACTAGACGCCAGAACAGCCGCAAGTAGACTTCCCGCGAACAAGCCGAACTCATCTCAACTAGGTAAATTCCATATACACTGACGCAATCCCATCCTGTCGACCACCGCCATCTCCTAGTCTTTCGCAGCGCAGTCCTCAGATCGGGAGCGTCTCAGATGCGCCAGCATAATTCATCAGTCAGCCAATCAGTCAGTCAGTCGGTCAGCCAGGTAACCCCGAAGCGGAAAACAACACAGTACCATGGATCGTTAATGATGTATATATGTATATATCGAGTAGATTCATAGCTGCCTAGGTAGGCAACTCACTCCTCATAACCACACCTCCCCACTCTCCCTCATCCCGTATCCTCCGCTCGGACTTGCGCCGCTTCTCGGCGCTCCTCGCCGCGTGGGCGGGCCCGCATGTCGGCCCGCGCCTCGCGTCCGCGGTGGCCCGACGGTGGCCCCGCTTCCGGCTCTGCTTGCGGAACTTGGCTGCGCGCGCCGCTAGGCTAGGCGGTTCGCTGAGGTTTTGTTTGGGTTCTTGACGGAGGCGGAGGGTATTGTGAGTGAGCGGGTGAGCGGGTAGGTGGGCGACAGGGTTGAGTTGGGTCTGGTTGGTTGTGAAAGGGGGGAGAGAGAGAGAGAGAAGGAGTGTAGGTAGGTAGGTAGGTAGATGTTGCTGTTACCTAGAGCTTCGTGGGGTTCTAGACAAGGGTTTGGTTTCTGGAGGAGCTGGGCTAACCTAACCTAGGTCTTGTTCATTGAGGGCTTGAGATGCGTAGCTTGTGGGACGCTAGTCGGGGGAGGGTGTGCGGTTAATGGGCTTGCAGAAAAGTGCTTCCTGTTAGACTTGTTATACCCTGTTTTCTTACCTAATACTATCATATTGGTATATATGTACTGGGGATATGTTCTGTTAATGAGATAGCTGATATTGGTTTCACCGTTCGCAGAGGAGCGATAGGATTTCGCGTTATTAGTTAACGCTGTTTGTTGATCCTCTGCCGTAGCGATGCTTGTATTTAGCGATTGGGTCTTGATAAATGGGCTGCTTAGCACCCAAACTTTCACGAGTATAGGAATTTGACGTTCGACTTTCCGACTTATTTATATAAGTCTCATTCTTGAGCTTCCAGAAAGCCCCAGAAGTGCCGGGATACACAGCAAGAGCTGAAAGCCTCGATCGTTCAGAAGCACAGATTGCACCCCGTACTGACGAGAAGCGTTAACGCGATAATTACAACATCTTTAGAGAGGGAAGAGCATAGAATATATATCTTTGAAGTCCCTGGTGAAATTTTGAGCAACACTAGAAACTCGAGAACTTACCGTAGAGTCGCCATTGCCGTTGAATAAAACACAGTATCACACCAGATACATCATCATTATAATAGTTTTCTGAAGACTGTCTGTCTTTCACAAAAACGAGAGCAAGCATTTTGATCGAGGAATCGAAAAACACGTCGCATTTTCTATCCCGCTGAGGATTATCCTGCCCCGGTCAACTCTTCCGTGAGATAAGTTTTGACTCTTGAGTCGTTTTATAGATAGCAATAGACTTGCCTTGTTGTGTAGCCCATATGAATTGCCTTCTATGGAATCAACTGTATGCATGTTCTAAGTACTGGTAGGGACTGATCATATCGTAACAGGTAGCCAAGACCAGAAAACTTTGGCCATGAATCTCTTGATCAAACTTAGTTTCTAGTATCCCAGCTTATGTTTAGGAAACTCCGTGGTTCTTAGTCTTAGAGACCACCTTTTGACTCAGAGTTACCCTTAACAGCCTGAATGATGACAGTATTATTCACCCAGCGAGCCTATTTCGCACGCCAGAGAACTAAGTTGCACAGCAGACAAAGACTACATACTGGTGTTTGCAGTATAGAGTAAACGGAGTCACAAAATGGATATCAAGAGACGCTTCAGATACCGATTGGTAATAGCATCAGGTCAAGGGTTGGTTAGTGTAAGGGCTAGCACGAGAGATTCTGATTCTCTAGATCTGGGTTCGAATCCCAGACCGACCTCGGTTTGAGTCACTTGACTATGTGGGCCTGGGGTTTGCTTTTATAATCTCTTTGAGTACTTCTTTTTATTGGTTTCCTTGCGGGATGGAAATCACTTTAAGGGCAAGGCAACAGCCATGCAAACTGTTTGCTGAGGGGTTTTGGTGAGTGGGTATGCTCTCGTCCTCACAACGTGTGATAACTTGAATTGCATTACTATGTAAAAATTGGAGTATATCTAACACAGCCAAGTCAGCAAAGGACTTCTACAGTAGTTACGAATACAGTATTTGGGTATTATAATAAGTGGTGTTAGGCTCACCGTGAGATTGAGAGTAAATAGACTGCACTGGGGCATGTGGCAATGAGATGGATGTTGCTATCGAGTTCAGATATAGAACGCATCGCATTTCTCCTCGGAAGACAATTAACGATAGGGAAACTAGTTCTCTAATAAACTTTGAGTCGAGATAGAAGTGCCACATATAGGTAGACGTAATACTTGTCTTCTGTATATAGAACTGTATAGCTAGAGGCGAATGTATCAGAATGTGACTTAGCAGCACGATCATGGTCAGTCATGAGGTTCAAGATAAAGACACTGCAAATCTAATTATACAGAGAGTAGGCGATATCTACCTAAGTACCTATCGAATCCCCGTTGAGTCAAAACCACAATGGCACACCCGGAGAAGAAGAAAAACAAGCCCAACCCTCCCCAAAACCAACATCACCTAAACCCACGATGCAGGCCCCGTACAAATCCGGCCATACCTATGCCTAGGGCCTAGGCCCTAAGGACTCAACCGCCATCGCAAACTGCATCACGGTGGGCCGAACGTGGGCCCGCGGACAGCGGTAACACAGACCGCGAACACCATCGACGGCGCGCGCACTCATGCACTGCGTGGTGGCGGTGTCGGGGTCGCGGCGTACCTTGGGCGCGAAGAGGGGTTGAACCTATGGCAGACTCTGGGGACGCTGATGGGCGCGAGGATCAAGGCGAGACCGAATGACGGGTGAGTTCTTGAGGCAGTTGAGCGAGATGGAGGTTGGCGTTAGGGGCCGGGAGCTGAGGCTAAGGCGCTGCCGCTCAGGACGGAGGATTAGCTGGCGCTGCTGAGGGTTGACGAGACTGGCTGAGGCGGGATTGGGTTGCGTGAGTTTGGCATGTTGACTTTGACCTTGTGTTAAAAGCTTTTTGACAGCATCTGCTCTTGGGGGGTTAGAGGGAAGAGGGGCGGCCGTTGACGGGGTTCGTCCTTCAGACTTGCAGCGATGCTCCCTGTGAAGCCTGGATAAGGTGAGATGGCGGAAGAACGCTGAACTTGTAGTGTGATGCCCTAGGTGCCATAGGTTTTGAGCTCAAGTCTCAGTGATTTTAAATTTACTCTCAGCTGCAGTCGATAAAGGGGATTCCAGTCGAAAAAAGGGGTTCGGATGAGTGGCATAGTGTTGTGGTCACAATACGCAGGAACGTGCATCATTACCGGAATAACTCAATATTGATTTTTTTTTCTTCGTCGAATCTCTCGATGGCGCCCTACCACTCGAGCCTGTCATCGCAGGTTAAGCTAACATCGTATCGCTCATTTCCTTGCCAAACCTTCGCTCCTGAGCTGCAAGACGCAACGATTCTCCTCAAGTCACTAATCATACCACCCGGTCCGCTGGCGTACACAGTTGTAGACCCTCTCACGGTGCTTTCAACGAACTCTTTCACCAACTTATGAAGGTTCGGATGCCTATTGAAGCCCTCACTGCCCATCTTTTGTATGTCGAGTGAGGAGTTGGTCTGGACCCCGTTGAGTGATGTTGAGGAAGGGGAGCAACAATCCGATGCTTTCGTTATTGTATGGCCCTTCTCTGGCTCGTCTTCTTCGAGTGATGGATGTGATGGATTTCGGCTACTCGCCTCTCTCGTTACGTAGATATGTATGTCGATGTGGTGCGCCTTTGCCGCTTTGTGGATGGTGTCGAGTTCTTCCTCCACCCAACGCGTATCCTCCTTCCGCCTGATCGCCCAGATTAGCTGGATCTTTCGGTCCTTTACTGCTGGCTGCTCTATTATTTCAAGTAGTACCGGCAAGATGTAAGAAATTCCGGTTCCGCCAGCCACACACAGAACATTCACATCGGGCGTCAGGTTCTCTGTTATTGCGTCGCCATAGGATCCCGACAGTATCACAGGCGTTGTGGCGCTCGGTGCCCCAGCAAGTTTCTTCAGGGCTAGCTTTGCAACCTTCTTAGTCTCTCCTTTCTTCGCTCTAAAGATGTAGGAATGAGAAACGACACCATCTTGTACCTTCGGTAGGTTTATCGGGGTGAAGGGATGCGATTGCCATACGCTACACTCTGTGAAGCAAAGATAGAAATGTTGTCCTACTTTCCATGGATCCTGTTGTTGAGAAAAGTCTAGCCTCACGACGTCGCCATTTTCAGGGTCGCTGAAGTGCCTCAGTGAAGCATGGGCCGCCCTAAACCCCATCGAGCCATCGGGTAAATATTGGTAGTGAATGAGCGCTGATCGTACAAGCCTGACTCCGCGATCTAAGAACCAGATGGCCAGTCCCGGGATCAAAAAGCAGTTCAGTTGCTGCCAGTGACCCCAGCAAGCCCCGATGTAAACCATCGCCAACACGTAGTGAGACTTGCGGAAGAATTCGTAGCCGGTCAGCCGAATGCCCCAGGGGGTGCTCAAGGCGAAGAGAAGAAGGAGGAGAATCATGGCGACGACGCCCCAGATCATGTAAAGCTGTTTAATCCATTCTACAGCCGTCGTCGGTTGTGGCTGATATAATCTGACCTCAATGATAGTCCAAGCAATGGTGTGTAATGACCCCTGAACAACGATAATGTAGCCTAGCCATCGGTGAAGAAAATTGAAGCTCTGGTAAGGAATACCCGTGACTAAGGAGAGTATTGATTCTCTGCTCGATAGCATGACGGATAGTGGCGTGAGAGCGTAAGCCAGAACGCCCACTCGATCCGACCATGGGCCCATACTCGTCCTCACATTGTAGAGACCCGGACTCGTCTTCACGGGAGTTACCCAGGTCTGGTAGGTGATACCGGCAAAGCTCCAGATCAACAAATAGCCCGATAAGACAGCTAGAATAAGCACTTGAAGTCGTGTTGTTCGACCGAAGATAGATCGAACTGAGTCAGGGAGTAAGTAATAACGAATGTGTGCCGTAGCCGTTCTCCTCAACCGCAAGCGTCGAGTAGTGATTGTCGACGATCTTTCACTATCTATGATGCTATGAACAACCTGATCGGCGTGGCTCGGTGGCCAAAGGCGCCGTCCGATAGCCCATAGAAAGAGAATTCCGCCGATGGTGGCCCAAAGGATGCCGGAGTAAAGCATTCCTACATCATGAGACCAATATACTACGTCCAGATAAGCACATGATCCCGCATCATTCGTACACGGAACTGCTCGATCGAGGTAACCCCAGTGCGGCTCCAGGGTGGCCGCCTCGCTCATATTCTGGATATGGCGAGCGGCCAGGTGTTTCTCAAGGGTCGTCATCTCGCCCACTCAGCCTCGCCAGTAAACACCAAGTACCAAGTTAGGACGATATTGATGAGGCGGTGTGACCGGGAGATAGCGAAAGCCGAGGGAAAGGGAATTTTTAAGGTTTGAGGCTCGGCGTCCATCATCTTCATCATCCGTCTTTGCAGGGACCACCCCATAATATAAGAGTACGACGCGGTTTGGAGCGCCGTTTGATGTCGCACTCGTGGTCGAAGGGCTTCTCCGTCGAAACAACATGACATCTCCGCCGTAGTGAGGCATACCGGCGGAAACTTGCTCAGATGATACCACCGTAAAGTTCTCGTCGAGATATGCCAAGCCATGAAACAAAACGCTGTGGGAAGCCTTAAACCTTTAGAGGAAAGCTTGAGAACGATTGAGCACGTTTTCCAGGGGTCTTCTATAGATCCACTATAGCTTGGCGAGCAAGCATCTATTCACGAAGCCACCAATCATAGTCAACCCAAAGCTACCTTGTAAGGCTTCGGCCCGTTGCTAATGGACCAGTTCGCCGGACAAGCTCCACCTGTGCTGGACCGTTCGATCTTTATCTCTGTAAACTTAAGGATCCGTGACCCGTCACATGCCGGCGGGCCAGACCCGTGGGGGATAATAGACGTGGAGGTTATCGCCAGGTTCGCTCTTGTATATGTGCGGTTGCCCAGTCCTTCCATGGTTCGACATCGTCAGCTTTCCTAGAAGGCCGAATTTTGCTCTTATATGCTCAAGTCGGCTTGGCCCTCGGTTTGTATCGAGCTAGTTGTTTTACCTGATTCTTCCTACGCGCCAGGCATAAAGAGGCCGACCTTTTTCTGTTCCCGATTGTCCAGCAGCGTAGACTAGTTCAATTCCGGACTTCCTCCTTACCGCCCGAATAATACGCAACAATTGACTAAATTTACCGGCCGCGTAAATTAGACCCAAGATGGACCACGGCAATATGGATATGGGGGGTGATGCAACTTGCACACACTCGGTTCGTCTAACCAGCCAGCCCTTCATTTATTATACAGGACAGACCAGACTAATCAGCGCGGCAGATGGTTTGGAATTGGAATACCATTGGTGCATGTACGAGGCCTCTTATCCGCCGGAAGTAATTATTCCTATTGACAACTCTTTAGGTTTCTTCGCTGAATCATGGCGTATTGGAAACGACGGGATGATGGCGGCCTCTTGCATTGGCGTCTTCCTCCTTGTCATCTGCCTAGAACTCCTCCGCCGAATCGGCAAGGAGTACGATAACTTCATTCTGCGGCAGTTCCAGCAACACGTCTCAACGAAAATCTACAATTCCAGGATTACCGACTCTGACACGTCGAGTCTTGGTCCGAAAACCGTCACCTTCAGAGCAACACCATTGCAACAGCTAATTCGCTCTATTATCCATGCTCTAACTTTTGGCGTTGCATACATACTTATGCTGATAGCCATGTCATTTAATGGCTACATCATTATCTCGATTATAATTGGTGCCGGAATT